AGCTTTAATCACAGGAAATTGCCAACACTTGCCCATTGAGTTTTCACTTTCCACACTATGTCCATCAACCATTCCAAAGGTATACGAGAGAAAAAAAAGGGGGTTAAAAAAAAGTACATGAAGGGTGGAAAATAAATGATTCCTCTTCATTTTTCAAATTATTCTTATATTTATGGAATCTCCAGGTTTTTTTTCCTAAAAGATTTTTTTTTGAATGATAACAAAAACGAAACATTCTATTTTTTATTTTTTAATCAAGTGGGAAGTGAAAAGCAAATGAAGACAAAAAATGATTCGTGGAATAAAAAGAAACCGAGTTTATATGCGTCTGCAGTAATACAAATTACCACAAAGGGTTATATTTTTCTCAGAATCAAAAGTGAACGAAATGTCGACGTTTGATATCTTCATTTGCTTCGGAGCTGAGATAAAAAGCGTGAAATGCGAAAATTCCACCGGGCCTGATTTAAGGACCATAGGAGCATTATTAAAAAGCCATGTTTCCAAAATGAAGAGGTTTGAATGTGTGTTTCTTTTTTTGCTTTAATTTGCACAGCTTTTATTTTACCTCTCTCGTAAAAATAATCAAGCCTTGATTGTAACACTGATGATGAGAAAAAATTGTCGATATAACCCTAAGGTAGAATTACAAAGACTATATATAACTTTTATAATAGTCATTATTAGCGAAATTCGAAAATCATTTTTACATTTTTCAAATCCACAAGAGAGACAATACAAGAGTTCATTATATATACATAAAAATCATCGAACTGAAAGAATATCGTATAGAACACATTCCATAGGTATTGTTTTCAAACGCGTGTAAATTTCAATGTCAGGGGGGGGGAATGAATCGCGAACGCGTAATCCTCGCAACCACAGGGTTGAAAATTCCACAAGGGTTGGAAGTTCTCGCCCGCGCCGCACAACAGAATACGACGATTTTGTCCACGCGGTTAATCTCGAAATCCGGCGGTTATGTTGGACATTTAGAACATTAATATTGCATTAATCTTCAGCCGCAAAGTTGCCGTGTTAATCGTATAAAGTGCCCGCACCGACAGTGTCGTGTGCGACCTTTTCTCTCTGTATTTGTAAACTCATTGCCGCACACACGAAATCGTGAGGTTTCTATCTAAAGAATTTTTTCATCTCCCCAGTGAATTTCATTAATTATGAAACTTGATTTAGAAAACAGAAGCACATCGTAACCACACGATTCTCGTGCGCTATCTGCAAGGCCGTTCGATATGCACATAATTAAAATTGTTAAAAAAAAAATTTGTCGCACGAAATAATTTCAGCCATATTGGAGCGACCATTTTGTTTATTTGATAATAGTAGTATATATACTAATTTTGTCCGCAATATGGCGTGGTGTCGCTGTGAAAAATACTTTGTATAAAGAATATGGTTGCCGCCCACTGGGAAGCAACTTCCAATGATTAACTGACAAAATAATGTTTGGCCCCTTTATTGAAAACAGAGTCCAACAAAAACATGCGCTCATAATTTCATGCTGTCTGACGAGTGATGACGCGCGTGTGCTGCACCGCATATCGGGAAGCCGTGTTTACATAGCGCGAGGGTCTATCCCATGTAGACTATCTCTTTCTCCCTTAGCCTTCTTTCTTTCGCGCCAATCTCTTTTTCTTTTTTCGCTTCGTCACGCCGGTTACCTGTATATATATACATACACACACACTAGTTGATTAGTTGATTTTCGCATCCGGTTAACGAGAAAATTTAAAAAGAATCCTCTTGCAATGCGCCAGGACAAGATATCTCAAGAAATACACTTGGAGGAGTATATATATAAGTATATAGAACTTTCGAGGACGTTTACTATCTGCCTTTTTAACGAGACCGCGAAGACTCAACGCCAATATGAGAAGATCGTTATTAACGAATCATCATTTCCAGGGTCGTTTACAATGAGAGAGAGAGAAAGAGAGAATGGCCGCGCAGTTCTAGATTGATGACGACGCCAGTGAAATGCAACAGAAATTAACTCGCTCAGCTATATTTCAAAGCGCATGAAATATGTTCATTACCTGGACTGAGCTGCTAGTAATAAGTAGATGACTTTCTGCAAAAGCAGTAATCACAATTAATTTTAACATCCTCTTTAATTTTATATCTCACAACACAAAGTTAAGACTTAAATCGTTGATTATATTCAATTTTAAGGACATAAATGACTATTTCGCTTCATATCTTCTTGATGTAAAATTACTAAGGGGACACATGTCAACTATTTCCTTTAGAAGAATTATATTTTTAACTGTAAGTAAATTACTTTACCGAACCTTGAAAATTTTTTTTCAAAATTTGCAAATTATGACTAAAATGAGCCTAAAATACCAATTGGTGCTTCCTAAAAAAAGTCACAATTTCCTATGATCTGAAAAAATATTACTACCTGTATTTCTAAAACAATTTTTAAAAATTATGTTCAAAAATCCCTCTCAATTAACGAAGATTAAAAACGAAAAAAGACTGGATTAAAAAATAATTCCTATATGAATATGAAAGAAGGTGTAATGAATCGGATATATAGCGGATAAAAAAAAAAATATCGACATCGCGATTTAATTATATTTACTCGTCGCAATTCGTTCGGATGACATTACGTTGGCTAATAGACGTTGTTCGCGAACATAATCAGCCGTTTAACGAATAGGTTCACGCCGAACATATATATAAAGCTACCAACGCAGAGAGAGGGCTTTAGTCGACTTTTGGTCAAATTTCAATATTGGATGTGCGCTGGTTTGCGGGGAGGGATGAGGAGGGGGGGGGACGCATTTATAACACGAATTCACTGCGATCCTGTTTGTCAGTTATGTTCGTTTGAGCGCGCACGTGGGCGGTGGGTTGGTCGGTAGTGACTAGGTCCTGGCAAGCGCGAATGCTCATAAAAGCATTGATTAACTGTTGGTGGTCGTAGGTCAGCCAGACCATGGACTAATAAAACCATGAACTAATAGTACCTCGACGTCGCCTCAATGTCGTTTGTCGGCTTTTATACGTGAGAATAGTTCGTTTTGTCAACGATCACAACAATTTTCACTCCCTTTAACATGCGAGGTATATGAATTGTTTTATGGATTTCGCGAAAATGAGAACAAGATCATAATTCTTTTATTTTTATTATTGCGTGCAGGAATTGTTATCACTAAAACTTTTGTTAGAGAAAATATCATTTTGCCATTATGCATTTAGTTGATTGAATAAAAAAAATTGCATAAAATCTTGAAATTCTTACAGGGAAACGATGAACAGAATTTCTTAATGTGAATAAGAAGATAAAATTTCTCGATGAAATAAAAAAAGCCGCAGCTAATTAAACAAGTGATAATCGAAATAAATATAGCACTTAATATAATTACGAGTTATAGTTAGGAAAACATATATATATAATGACCATAAACGGGATAATTTTGAGAAGCATTGTGAACGATGTCATACACGCGCCGATAACTAAACAATCCACCCTCAATCTTCTTACCCCGACTCGACGGATATTTATTTTTCTCATCACTTTTAATTTCGTATATATATAGAGAGAGAGACAACATAGATACGTATCTATGGTCTATTGTGTAGTCCATTGTGCATCGAGTACCGAATGGATGTACACGTTGAAATCGAGATCCGATCTCGCTTATTGAGTTTATTAATTGCATTATGGGAAATGGCGTTCACGCTGCCGGACAAAATTGAAAAAAAAAAAAAAACTAAAATCCCCCTCGACCCCACTGTTTCCAATATACGGCCACGCGACGTAGATGAAAAACTCTTTTTTAAATTATCGCTCCCGTATATGTGTTTAAAGAAAATTTTTTCATACCGCGCGTATAAATATAAATTTTTTCTACCAATTCAAAATTTTAGAAAATTATTCGCTTTTCTGATTAATATTGTGGTTGGCGAGATCATAAACAAGCTGGTTCATGAGAACACATATAGTGTATACGAAACGTAAAACAATTATACAATTACCGCCTAACCGTAATTAACTGCCTACACAGTTTCAACGTTTACACCATGTACCAATGGTATTAAATTAGTGAGCATACGCTGCGCAAACGTATTTGTCGGTAAAATAAACAACAAGTGAGGATGGTGCCTCTATAACTATATTTATGTCAAAAATTTTGTCTTTTTTTTTAATTTATAACCCCTATACAGTGGATTAGAAATATTGCACGGACAACAAAAATCGTAAAGAAAAATTATTGTTGCAGCTAAAAATGAACGAACACTTTGAAAATACGCCTCGTAAGTGGCGCTACGTTTCTTTTTCGATCATTTTTAATCCAAGTATTTTTAAATTAAAAGAACATTTAATAATACTTTTTGGAAAACTGTTTGCCATTCTCAAAATTTACTGCTGATCAATAGAGTAAACAATTTGAGAGATTTAACGATGTCATTTCAAAGAGGGAAAATTGAAGTCTATTTACTGTTTGATTGAATAACTCATTAATGGCAAAAGCGCAATGTTGTGGTTTGGTAACAAACTGGCAGTGTGTCATCTATGAATGAGCATTCCATGCTGGATGCTCGATGTGCGCATATATATCGAGTACCAAGTGAAACGCACACCGCAGGCCGCAACAGCGGAGAGTGCAGTTGCAGTTAATTTGCTCACTCCAAGTGTGTTTGATTCCTCTAATTAATTGATTGCCGGGGTCACGGTGTGTCGGTGCGCCAGCAGTCTATATACGGATGGTAGTAATCAAGAGGGTTTACCATATCGCGTTACATACGTTTACACATATATATAGTATATACAAGAGAGCTGTATGTATATGCATGTCCTCACGAAATCACGTGCCCTTTCGATTGCAACATAAAACCCTTCTAACCCCTTTTTCGATTTTAGTACACGCGTCTTTTTAAAATTTTATGCGTCTTTTAAAATAAAAACATATTTCAATAAAAATCGAATTAAATATAGAATTTAGAGGTGATTGAAAAAAAAAACTCACCGAGATGTCCATTTTCATAGTATTCGCCATTGTCCAAACGATGCTTCTTCATCTGATGATGACCAGCCGCTGCGAGATGATTTGCCGTCAAACTGAGACCAACAGATGCTCTCTTTGGTGGTCTTCCAGGCCTGGAGCTGTACAGTGGTAGAGAGTTACTGTGGTTAGAGACACCTGTCATCGAGGTAAAGTTTTACCCCGAGAATCGCGATTTAAAATTATCGTCTTTCAACACTCAATCAAATCTGACCAAATTGTCACTTTTTCATTTATATATAAACACTTAGAAAAAGGTATGAATTAACAACAAAACATTTTATGTTAAATTTTATGTTTCTTTCAAAAAAAAAATTTTTGGTTCTTCCAAATTAAAATACAGTTGGTAAAATCAAACCTTTTTTTCTCAGTGTAATATAACTAAAAGTTATTTAAAAATTAGTCAGAAGCTGTATGAATGTCGAGAGCATTTTAAAATGAGAATCATATTATATACAGCAGAAGACAATATTCGATGATTGATATATACTGCCGACAATTTCTAAAAATAAGTTTATATTTGGATCGTGCGAACGTTTCGAGAAAGGACTTTTGAATAAAGCAAGCAAATATAAATAGGCGATATTAAAATTAAATCAAAAACTAGTTTTGATATATATAGAAATTATATACAGAGGAAAATACATCCGCAGATTTATGTGTGGGATAACGATTCTGCAAATGTCAAATTTTGTTATTGCAAATATAATGGATTATAATCATTACTCAAATCTGTGGAAAATTAATTGGCCAATTTCCGATATATAAAGCCTGTTCCTTTCACTGTTAGATGTCCTTTGGAGATTAGAGTCCAGAAATATGAATTACTGCAGTTACAATTTCAATTATATATATTTGCTCTTAATCGAAAATTTTATTTTTTTTTTTAAAACAAATTTATATCCCACAATTTGTACATATTTGAAAATTTATAGATTTTCTTTCCTTGTAGTTTAATTAAGAATTTTGACGAATTTCTTTGTTTTGATGCCCTACAATTTAATATAGACAAATTAACACCTTGGAATTCATCCTCCAAATTTCTAAATCTAACCGAAGAAGCGGCAAATCAAAAGAGAAGTTGGTTCATTTTTCATAACAGAAGGCGTTCACAAGATACCGCAACTTCCATTTGGAAATTAAAAGTTCTCTTTCATATGCAATTTTGGTCAGTTTCAATAATTAATTAATTTATTTAATTATACCGCCCTACAGCGGAAATATGTAAGTGACACGTATACGTATGTTTTTCTGTGTAATTTGCCGACTTTAAAGTATAGGAATACTTTCATTTGCCTGGACTAATTTTATTGGTTTTTTTTTTTGCCAGAGGAAGAGAGTTTCGACAATTAAATCAAATTATTTCAATATGATTTTCTTCCAATTTTTTTTTTTTTTGATTAAAACTAAAAGTATATCAAACTTGATTATATCTTTAATAAAATTTATTATTATCAGAGGAAATCTTTGTAAATGAGCACCGCTGCGCATCGTAAGCGAGCAATCTCATAGTAGTCGGGACAGATTTGTAAATCTAATTTTTCATCCCGTCTTTCCATCTTACTCTTTCAGCACCGCGTTCGCCTCTCTTGGCTTTTGCCACTCGAGTGCACTGACAGTGCTCTTGCTCTTTCTCTCTCCTCTCTCTCTCTCTCTCTCTCTCTTGAACCCACGAATGAATTCTCGCGCGTTCTCTTTTCTCCCTAGCTGTGATCATCTTCTCTTTCTCTCTGTCCCTCTGCGGTGTTTCTCTCACACACGCGAGATTTCCAGACAATTCTCAGACGGCCGGTTATGCCAGCGTTGATCTCTTAAACCGCTTAGCTTCGAGTTACACCGAAAACAAGAACGCACTCAAACGCTTAACTCGCATATAATATACGCACTTGTTTGCGTTTGATTTTACACCAAAATTTCACAAATCAAAACTGTAGAAATTATCCTTACACCTCATACAAGTGGTCAAAAAAAAAAAAAAAAATTTGCAAATAATTAAATACTAATTTTTGAATTTATTGATTAAAATTTAAATTATAAATTAGTTAAAATAATAAATAAAATAAAAAAATGTATTATGAAATGATGATTTGAAGAAGAGGATATTTTTCACTAGGAGTCATGAAGAGATGTGAGTATGAATGAACAATAGAAAAGTGATACGATATAATTATTAGAATTGCGCCTTATAGGCAATATAAGATTCTTCGATTATGAGAGAGCTTTATAATCGAATGTTATTGCCATAATGGGCGTAAGATTATGTTCAATTTAAAATTGGTAAAATTACTCAACGATCGTAAATGCCCACGTGGATAATTTCCATCGATATCTAATAATAAATACACGCATTCTCTAATTACGCAAGACAAATTATTCGAAATCGATATAAATAATCAATTTTATTAGAAAAGAAATCAAATAAACAATTTTATCAAAAAAATTGAATAATCAATTTTATAAAAACATATAATTTGAAATTTGTCACAATCAATCCAAAAGGGGGGTTTTTTTAAAAATAATTTTATGCACTCCACTTTGGATTAATTAATTACTGTTAAATTTTTGTTTTATTATTTGTGTATACACATTATTAAAATATATAAGCGACAAATTATGAAGTTAAATTAAAAGATGTTTTGTAAGAATGATAAAACCACTTATTTTATATTCTGTCTTATATATATATACTATATGGATGTTTAGATCATGATGAGAGATAAGAGTGAAACAAAATTCGATTCATCATTTATTAGCGCGCTAATTGCACAGAAAAGGTATATAATTCTGACATTGCTCGTCTCTCTTTGCTCATATTTTTTTTCTTTTCCTCCATCTTTCTGAACGAGTCAAAGGCGCAAAATTGGTGGTCTCTTGTATGTGCAACGTTCATTAGGGCGGGTTATGATCTGATCGAACCAGCACCTGTTGGATGAACTTCATAGTCCCACACACGCAACTGGTGCATAAACAGGAATCACAATTTTTTTTTTTCTCTTAAAATTTACTCAAATTTTCCTCTTTTTTTTTTAGAAATATGCTAGAAATTTCTGCATTTTAATATCATTTAATGAACTAATTAATTAAAATTAAAAATTATTTTTTTGTAAATAATTATTGTCTTGTAGAGTTTTTTTTTCACATCGTCATACAAAGGAGAAAAAAAGGAAATAGTATTTTTCAGTGATATAAAAGAAGCAAAATGGCATGGGTGTACGCATAACCGTGCTTTCCACGGAAGCAACCGCGTAATTAAGACAATTAAGTTACTCGCTATAAATCACACAGTGCTCATCTACTTAACTTGATATCAGATCGAGGATCTACACGCGTTCCAGAGAACGGCCGCGCGCTCGATGCCAACCTGATTTATGTAGGATCTTTCCCCCTCTCCTTTTTTTTTGAAAAGATTTTTCACAAAGTCTTTTGCTCTCTTCTCATCAAAACAAAAAATTCGATTGCCATAAAGTTAAAAGACTCTATCGTTGCGATTCGAGTATAGACATGAGAAAACATCATTTTTAATTAGTCAATCAATCAAAAAAGCGCCTACACTGTCAATTATACTGTAATTATATTTACATCATGCGGAACGTTAATCGGACATCGATCAATATATATATATTCTGAAAATACAGAAAATTAATACTTTATTTTATTAATAGACACGCGATTAATCATTTTTAATTTTTATATCATGATGATAGGGATAATTGTAATTAATTTCCCTCATTAGTTAAAAATACAAAATAAGCTATTATAATTATGTTAGAAATTTTGTAATTTTATAATTTTACAATCAAAAGAGAGTAGCTAATATTATAATTATTAAAATAAAATTGAAACAAAAATTTAGTTGTTATTAAAACATCTAATGAGTGTAAATTGAAAGTAAATGTTTATACCGGGTATTTTCAAAGGACCTCTTCAACTCATTATATATATAAAAAATGAATAAAATGAGAATTTGACTTTTAAGAGGGTGATGACGATAAAGCGCGCAGTTGTGTCACGCAAACTAGAATTATAAGAGTCGCGTGCAAACTGAATAAAAAAAAAATTTATATATCTATATATAATGTCTCACAAATATTACGTCATCAATTTTTTCGGTTATTTGAAGTACTTCTTTGATTCATTTTTGTCTCATTAATCCCTCGTCACTTTCTTTTAAAATAATAAATTTTCAATACGTTCCAAAAAAAAAAATTTGCAGTAATAATAGATTTATTACTACTATATTTTACATTTTTGAAAATAGATTTTTATAACACAAAAAAATTTATTTAAATGAAAAAAAAGTCAAAGAAACAGATTTCTTTAAATCAACAAAAACTTTAAAATAAGAATTAGTCAAGTTAGTAATTAGTAATTAATTAGAACGAATTAGTCAAAAATGCGACTAAAGTATAAAAAATTACTATATGTTAATAATAAAAATAAAAACAAAAAGTAATAAATATTGACAGTATGAAAAAAAAGTGATAAAATATTGATTCTATATAGGGTATATTTGAAAAAGAAAACAAGGAAAATATTGTAATTATGCAAATTAATAAAATGTAAATAGGGAAAGTGTACTTTTCGTTGCATGTGAAGCGTTTAATCCCAAGTATCGAGTACCGTGCAATAGCGAATACCAAATACAAACGTGAACGGCTGGTCGGTTCGGCTGCCCAGAGCGATATATAGATTTGAGTAGCGCGCGAAAACGGGGTTGCAACCCCTCCGTCCAAGTGCGCACCCTATCCCTATACATATACCCTCGCCTGGGCCATTAATAATATACCCATATTGGACACAATTCACCTTGAAATTAACCAGCAGCCGATTGGTAAGCCTGGGCAAATTGACTTCGAAATTGACAATTTATGATCGCTCTAATACTCGAGATTTTCGCGCTCAATCTCTCTCTCTCTCTCTCTCTCTCTCTCTCTCTCTCTCTCTCTCTCTCTCTCTCTCTCTCTCTCTCTCTCTCTCTCTCTCTCTCTCTCTCTCTCTCTCTCTCTCTCTCTCTCTCTCTCTATCTTTATTTTAACAAAATTTTTCTAACATTTTTCAATCAATTCATCGAGAGTAAAAATATTTTTTCAATATT